GGGGCTGGTCACCATTGGAGCTCAAAACAAAATTAAGCAGGCTTTTCTGATTTCATTGTCTCCCTCAGACTTTGCTTGTCAGATTTCAAGTAGTCCCGAATGGTAAGATTTCCACAACAGATAGGCAACTGCATGATACCTTATCTTCCCTTTCTAAAGTAACTGAAACCCTTGCATCTCGAAGGCACTCTAACAGACCTTCACCCGTGGTCCACAGACATAGAGGAGCTTTTCAGAAGCAGAGTTCAGTAGTTACATCCTGCAAGATATGAGCCCCACTACTCAGTGGCCACCCCCAGCCACCCGCACACTCCAGGCATTTGTACCTCAATTGAGGGTTTCCATATCGACACTGATCCCTCGGTGAGCACTGTCCTGTCTTCTATGCTCTGTGAACTGCTTGTTCTCAGTCCCATTACAAAGTCAGCTTTTCTGAAGGCTACGTCACCCGGCTTTTATTTTTTCTTCACCTCATAGCTCCGTGTATTTCCTTCACCACCCTGTTGCAATTACAATTATCTACTTATTTATTATACATCTTTCCCTTCAATTGTTTTACAACTGGGGCCAGCATACAAGAGACACAGAAACATTTGTCTAGAGTGAGCAATTAACTAATTAAACTAATGATGGCATGATAGTGGCACTCTCCCAAGATTCAATGGGAAGTTCTTTATGCCCAGAAGCTCTGACTGGGGCCTAGCATGGAACAGTCTACTCTCTTCTCATCCTGACTGTGAGATGGATGGCTAAGGCACTGCTTTCTACACAAATTTCTCCAAAGAGTTCAAAGAATGCCATAGCACATGCATGTTCATTTTTTTTAACTTTATGTTGCTGTGACAATACCTAACAGGAACAGCTTTAAAAGCTAGCTGTGTTGGTGCTTCCCTGTAACTCAGCACCAGAGGCAGAGGCAGGAGAATGACCACAAAGTCAAGGCTTACTGAGTCTAGTGAGTTCCAGATGAGTCAGGGCCTCACACGGAAACCCTGTCTCAAATTAATCCTCAGAGTGTAAGAGAATTCTTACCAACAATGCTTTAGGCAAAAGATTAATAGCCAAGATAAACGAAGAACTGCAAAAAATTTATTATCTAACCCTACCCCAACAATCCAACCAGAAATGGGCTCATGAACTCAATAGGCAGTTTTCAAAGGAAGAATCTCAAAAGTATTTGAAAAACTGTTCAACACCCTGAGCCATCAAGGAAATTCAGGCTAAAACTCTTTCCAGACCCCCATCTCACTCTAGTCGGAACGGCTATCAGCAAGAAACAAACAACAACAAATGCTGGCAAAGATGCAGGGAGCGCTTTCATGAGAGCGAACATCCATGCAGCCGTTGTGGAAGTATACAACCAAGGGCTTCTGGGTCAGCATCCCGCATAGACACTGGAATATCCATTTTACACTGCTGCACTATTCTCAATAGCTAAGAAATGGAACCGGCCTAGATGTCCATCACCAGATGAGTGGGTTATGTAAATTAGGAATTTTATGTAGCCATAAAACAAATGAAATCAAGATACTGACAATAAACTGGACAGAGTAGGATACTTTGTTAAATAAAAGAAGCCAGTTTCAAAAAGACAAATACTGTGTGCTTTGCCTCCTGTAAGGAATCTCTATTTAAATTTATATAGGGTGTGTGTGTATCTGTGTGTGTGTGTGTGTGTGTCTGCACATATGCACATGTGGAGGTTATAAAAGTAGAAAGAAGGAAGAAAGCAATGTAATACCTGTTCCAGGAAAGCAAAGGGAGTCTGCGGTGAGAGGGAAGAAACCAAGAAAGGGAAGGCATGGCATGGGGGAAGATCCCTGGAGAGAAGGATGAGTAAAAACAAAGAATAATGACACAAATGTATGATGACGCCATTGAAAGCCATTATATGCTAAATTAAAAAAAATAATAATTAGGGCTGGAGAGATGGCTCAGGGATTTAAAAACATAGGTGATCTTCCTGAGGACCCAGGGTCAGATTCTCAGCCCACACATGGTATCTCACAACTGTCTATGACTCCTTTTTCAGGGGATCCAATGCTATCTTCTAAGGACAGTACATATACATGGTACACAGATGCAAATGCAGGCAAAACACCCATACACATAATTTTTTTTTAATTAAAAGAGAGAAAAAACAGAGGCAATGCATCCCAAGTGTGTGTGGCAGTTGTGTGATATCATCATGAAGCCATTTTTCTTTCATTTCACATTTTGTCACCCTGAGAAAAGATATGACCTTATAGTTCAATAGAGTAAATGGAATGCCTTAAATTGTACATGAGTTTCAGGAGAGAAGGAAGAAGAAAAATAAAACATTCCCAACCAGGCTGGCTTCATTCAAAGGCTTCTTCCAGTGAAAGGAAGAAAAAGAAGGAAGAGAGCAGAGAAGGGAAATGAAAGGAAGGGTGAGTTACTTATTCTTAAGATTTCCAGTATGTTAGACTAGACCAACTATTTTCACATGAAAAGCATCCGTCACATTATAATATCAAAATAGCAAGCTATGAATCAGTACCTAAAAATATTTTAACTAAAGATTTTCGGTTTTTTTCTGAGAGGTGGGGTCATATGTGATCGTTATCTTGTTTATACTGTATACATATGCTCCAGGAATTACACAATGCTTGCATAAATGTATTTTTTTTGTGGGGGGAAACCCCATGTATTTAAATTTTAAGCCTGTACCCAGAGTTTAACTAATATGCTTCTAAAACTGAGTGTGGTGACTCACCTGTATTCTTAGCACTTGGAAAGCTGAGCCAGAGGACTGCCTTGAGTTCAAGGCTAGCCTGGCTTAATATTGTGTGAGATGCTGTCACAATAATCTAAATACAGACACACTGCTATGCATATGAGGTAACTACTGCAACAGATTCACAGAGGAAAAAGAACAGTGGTTGCTACGAGGAGTTGTTCTGCAATGATTAAAAGTTCAGTTCTGCAAGATGAGAACAGTTCTTGACGTGGAAGGCAGCACAGTGTGAATTTGCTTAAAACAATCATACTATGCATTTAAAAGTGGGTGACGTAATAAACTTGGGGCTAGATGCGGTGCAACATTCCCAGCTGCTGGGAGACACTGCTATGACCAGCTATTTAATCACATTTTAAAAACTAAAGACTTTAAATCGCTCCTGGTACGTACAGGTTCTAACTAACAACAGGTTCTACGGACATCTCACAACTGACAAGTGAGAAGAGTGAAAGAAGCCTGACTTTCTTGGACCACAGGACACTGAGCAACAAAGTTCACTCCAGTGTGCACTGAAGGCACGTATGTTTGGCCATAGCATTTCCTGGTTCTCAAAACTCTCTTCCCACAGCAGAGGATGTTCCTCCTCTCTCACTGCAATCTCTCTGTCTGACTCTCCACAAAAGGAACTAACTGTGTTACATACCCAGAAGCAAGGACTCCCCTCAGGGTCTGGTATGTGCCAGGAAAACTGCATGGTACCTCCTCTGGGCCACAGACTCATACACTTGCCATCACCACCCCTGCCCATATGTGGTGGAGCCAGATAAAAGAGCCTCACACATAAAAGTCTACTATCAAACGATGAGAAGAGTGCTACACTCGGCAGGCAAACAAAACTCCCTCCTTCCTTCCTCAAAGGGACACCTAGTATATTATAGCTAAGATGGAGTGATGGTTGATTTCTAGGCTGAGACCTCAGAAACCCAAGGCTACGGAAACATGGCCCCAAAGCTGAACCTGGCCTGGAAATGTATCAACTTCTTTCTGTTGTCTATCCTGTGTGGCATTCACAGAAGTAGCTGCCAACATTTAAAAAGTGAGTTGTTCATACATACGAGGAAACATTTTCTGTTTCTGTTGGGATAAAAATAATTATCTCAAGAGAAAACTATTTTAGTGACTGTGATGATTTAACTTGATTATCTACTTGAATAGATTAAGAAATGCCTGGAGATTAGAGCATCATGACTCTGGGGTGTCTCTCATGTTATCCGACCATGAGGATGCTGACTTATTCAAATGATACAGTCAAAAGGTGATAATATCACTGGGGAATGGTAAAAAGAGCAAGGGCTAGCTCAGAACAAGTAGATTCCTGGGTGTGCGCCCTTGCAAGTACCTAGCCCAGTCCTCCTTCCTGTACACACCCTTTCTCTGCTTCCTTTATGCTACAGGATAAAGAGTTGTCCTCTGCCACTTGCTTCTACCACCATTATGGCTTAAGTACACAGAAACGTGTGGTCACAATGAGAACCCTCTGAAACTGTGAGCCTAAATAAACTTTTTGTCCTTGAGGTTGTTTCTGTTACATATTTGATCACAGGGATGATAAAGGCAACTGTGCAGCCAGTTTGGGTTTATAGCAACCTCTGCACAGGTGACTGCTTGGAAACAAGCAGCAGCTATCATTCCAGAACGGGCCCACTCTCCCCCCGCTCTGCTGCTGTGTGATCCCCCTTCTCGAGTTGGAGCCCCATAGCTGGACTGGAAGTTACTGGTGAAGACCACATGGTTCTTGCAACCATGACAGCTGGACTTTCTGCAGGTTCTTGGAAATCCTGGATGTAGGACAGCTTGTAATGCAGCAACTACAGCCAGTGGCTTTATGAGACGTCTCCGGGTGAAGACACAGTTTACTCCTAACCTCCTGGACCTTGTCAAAGTACAGAATTCCCCTCCCACCATGTCTTCACCCTCCATCAAAGCATGACATCTAACCCCCTTTCCTCATGGAAAACCTTAAAAAGATGGCTAGGCTCTCGATCAGAGGTCTTGGGCCTTATGTTCCGTTCCTAACAGAAATCAACACCACCTACGATGGAGGAAGGAGCCAGAAGCACACGTAGCACCCCATAGTACAGTACTTTTCTTCTGGTCCTTTGGTGGGGAAGAACTGCCCAGCCACCCAATTAGGGGAGAGGGGTATCTAAAAGATCACAAACATAGAGCAAAAGGGAAGTTTTTCAAGTCCTTCAGGGTTAACATAGCCAGGAGAGATAAAGAGCAATGCTTTTCTTACCTGCTGTAGGCACACTAATGTTATACTGAGGTAAAATAAATAGGAAGGCAGTCTTGGCTGTGACCTGGAAGACAAAGGACAAAAGTTCCTGTTTACTTTCTTGGCCACATCAAAAGGAGCAAGCAGAGGCTGCTCCTTGTCCTGGGGCCATCCATTTGTATCTCCAACTCCCACTTCAGGATGCAGGGTTTTTACCTACCCCACAGTTAATGCCAGTTTTGATCTACCCTCCCGGTACCTGCACTAAAAAGCAAAGCAATCCTGTGCCCCTAATAATGGCTACACTCGTTTTCATGGCAGACGGACTGAAGCAAACTGTATTGACAGGCAGAAAGATTTGTTCGTTCGTTCACGTATTGATTCAATTCTGGGCACCCCACTCTGTGGAAGGTCATACAGCTTTTAAAGGCTCTGAATCCAGACTCCCTGGACATTTGAGTTGCTCGCACACTGGACAGCAACTCTGAAGATTCAAACTCAAGCTTCAGAAACAGCTTCTAGCTGTTAGTTTCACATCTTCCCTTCTATCGAACAGGGAATGAGACTTCACAAAACCCATAATACTGGTTTTTGTTCTGTTTTGTGAAAGCTATCTTGAGATGACTGTGGTCCCCGTCTGGTTGCTAATAGTCAAATCAGTACTGAAACAGTTTAAACCAGGGGTGAGCTTACAAAATGTGGAGGTTCGAAGCTAAAATTGACTGTCTGGGTTCAAATGCTGACTCTGCTAGCTATGCAACCACTGGGGAACGTATTTCACACCCTGAACCAAATCCCTTGTCTATAAAATCATGGATATGTGCAGTTCCTTGGCTGTGTACTGCAGTCTGGAGTGGTGCGGATCTCTCTATTGTCATTGTTTCAAAGTCTACAGATGTACATACAGCCAGGACCAAGAAGCACTCCGTGACATGCGCACAAAGTCAGGTGAAGAAAAGCCATTTCCCCAGAGGCTCTGAAGACACCTCCTCAGCCAGCGGTTATGGGTTTCCTTTCCAAACCTGGAGGTCAGAGAGTTGTGTGCAGGGAGTGGGACGGAAGAGGGAGGGAGAAGTCTGGCCATGGCCAAATCAGAGGGGAAACAAGTGAAAGACACCTTCTCTGGACATGCCAGCAACAGGTGGCTGCCCTCGGCCTATTGTATGGACTCAACCCTCTCCTTTAAAAGAGAAAAGAGCTTGCTGCTACTCTGTAGTGAGCCATCATTTACTTCAAGATATGTACAGAGAGTCTTCACACATCTGTGTTGATGCCTTGTGCATGCTCTATCAAACTTGAAGGGGAAGAAAAAATGAGGTTAGGTACCAGGAGGTGCTCTTCTCCACTTCCCCATTCCTGAAACGGATTCCTTTAGTCTTTAAGACCTTGTTCTACCATCAGAAGCAGGAGAAGACAGGGAACAGGACAGACGCCTATCACAGACAGCTCTGAGAGACTCTAATGATCGAGGTATCAAAGCAGAGGCTGAGACTCATAGCCAAACTTTGGGTAGAGTGCATGGAATTTTATGAAAGAGGGGAGAGATAGAAAGACCTGGAGGGGACAGGAGCTCCACAAGGAGACCAACAGAGCCAAAAAAAAATCTGGGCCCAGGGGTCCTGCAGAGATAGATACTCCCTCCAACCAAGGACCATGCATGGAGATTTCCTAGACCCCCTGCTCAGATATAGCCCATAGGCAGCTCAGTCTCCAAGTGGGTTCCCTAGTAACAGAAGCAGGGACTGTCTCTGACATGAACTCAGTGGCAGGCTCTCTGATCACTGCCCCCTGGAGGGTGCAGCCTTGCCAGGCCACAGAGGAAGACAAAACAGCCAGCCAGAGAGATGATAGGCTAGGGGCAGATAATAGGGGAGGAGGATCTCTACTATCAGTGGACTAAGAGAGGGACATAGGGGGAGAAGAGGGAGGGAGGGTAGGATTGGAAGAGAAGAGGGAGGGAAGGTGGGATTGGGAGGAGATGACAGAGGGGGCTACAGTCGGGATACAAACTGAATAAAGAGTAATAAATGATGATGATGATGATGATGATGATGATGATGATGATGATGATGATAAGACCTTCTTCTACATTCCTGACCTTCTTCTAGCCCAAATGTCCATGTTTTCCTTACAGTAACATGCTTGCCTCCAACCCAAAGCCTCTCTTCATAGATCCCTTCTCCCCTTCTACTCCACACGACTTGTTAGTATGTGTCTCTCTCACCATTGTGCTTCCCCTATACCCTGAGCTCTCTGAAAGGCCATCACTATTTCTACAGGTCACTCCTTCATGGGCAGCAGAGGCCCCAGCATAGGATGTTATGCTATCATTTCTCCACAGTGGGCTATCACCTAGAGGAAGGCAGGGATCCCACCACCTCAGTCTTCATTGCACGGCCTCCCCAACAGCTAACTCAGGTGATGGGAGTGCTCAGGTACTGATCACTGAACAAGATGAAAGAAACACAGCTCGCTTTCTTTAACCACGAGTCCCCAGTCTCTAGTGGGAACTGCCCTCTGCCACCACAGGCCTTCTCTTTAGGACTCCTCCAGCCCCTAAAACTCTAAGCCCACCCTCTCCTGAGTGGGGCTGGGGGATGTGTTGGTCAGTGCCACTAGCAGCCATGGTCTTCTGTCATGGTTCCTGTCCCCAGAGCAGCTGTGGGTCTTCACTGGTGTGAGGCCCTGGAGGGCCTCTTTCAGTTGGCCAGCATCCATTTCTCAGAAGCATTGTAATTCTATGTGTGGAGCAGCACTGTCCAACTATGCCTGTGACTGAATCCCTGAAAGAACTTGAAATTTTTCTATATCCAGGCCATACCCCCAGGCAACTAAACCAGACCCTTACAGTTGAGCTGGCTCATCAGCATTTAGTCCAGCTCCCAGAACACTGTAACATCCAGCCAAGTCTGGGAGCCATTACCCTTAAAACAAACAAACAAGACAAGACAGATAAAGAAAGACCAGGAAGTAGGCATTTAGTATGTGACTTACATACATTTTTGCTCTAGCCCTGCATGCAGAGCCAATTTTCATTCATGGCAGTTCTATGGCACCTTGCAAACACTGAACACTGAAACACTGTACCATAGAGAAGTACAGAGTTGGGGTGCTACAAACCACAGCCACATTTCACCAGGAGACCAACATACAACTTTGCTCTATGCATGCTTCTAAAAGGCACCTTAGTTAATAATACATCTTTAATACTGTTGGTTCATTAACACTGAACTCATGGTCAATGGGACTACTGTAGCTCATGTCCAATCAGGCTACTGAAGGCATAGTTTCTCCCTAAGGCCCATTGCCTCCTTCTAGGGATTAGGAACATAGATAGACTTCAGCAAAATACTTAGGGGCCACTGTAACGAATGAAATGTCCACAGACATCACAAAATGCAAAACTATGGCCCTAAATAGATTACAAAAAGGCTGATTTGCTTACAGTACGAGAGATGAAACAGGAAGGAGAGCACAGCCTTCTTTCACCTGAGCAGGTGCTCAAGCTTTTGCACCTGTGAGCGAGCAGGAGCACAAGTAAGAAAGTGGAGGTTACAAGTAAACTCTAGTAAAGTAAGCAGACTCACAAAGATGAAGTCTACAATCAGTGATAGAGAAACATCTCAAGACAAACCTGAGAGTCAGTTCTATCGGAGCCAAGATATTTTTTGTGTGTGTGTGTGTGCCCAGGTACACATGAAGAGGTCAAAGGACAACTTTTCCAGAGTTGGTCTTACCTCCCACCACCAAGCCCAACTTTTATACTGTGGGTTTCAGGGAGCAAACTCAGGTCATCAAGCATGTACAGCAAGTGGTGTACTCAAGGTTTTTTTTTTTTTGTTGTTTTGTTTTGTTTTTTTTTAAAGCCCTACCAAGGTAGAGGTTGACACCACCAAATCTAAGTTCCTGAAGAATGTAGAAGCTACTTGGTTTGACGACCCTCTCCACGCAGCCTCAGATGGTGAGGGGACAGAGATGACTGGGTAATAAATGTTCATCACATGGACACAGCCATCCCACAGGAGAGCTGTCTGATCTGCACCCTGCCACCTGTTCACAGGTACATTTCTGTACAACCGCTTTCTCTCACTGTGTCCAAACCAGTGCTGCCCATGCAGTAGGCATCTCATAAATACCCTCTGGATGAACTATAGTATGAACAGCTGTAGTATTCGGTAACCACAGACGAATGTCTAACACATGTTTTTTTTGAATGTTAAGTCCACAAGATCAGAATTAAAGCAAAAATAATCGATTCCGGTATTTTTCCATACCTGCCATATTTTTCCATCCCTGGATTGTGGCAGTAGAAACAAATTCTTAACCATACTTGTTCCCATGTTACTGTATTCCAGATGCCAGTTTCCTTGTCTCATAAGAAAGGAAGCTAAACTCCAGGCACAGAGAGGCATAGCAGCCTCTGTCAGCCAGGGAGCACCAGCAAAACAGGCAACCGTTAGCTTGGGATTCTTCAAGTTTGTTCCAAAAACGATAGCAAGCACACAACTCAGCACATAACAGAATGCTAACAAAAACTCGAAGACCAAAGCCAAAGAGATCATGAGTCAAAGGCTTAAAAAGAAAGAACAGGGGATGAGGCTCATCCACAGAAGTGTATCCCAAGAAGGCCTACGAATCAGCTCAAGCTGGCCAGTGTGAGCTCTTTCCCAATCGTCTGAAAGAGCAAAATAAAATCAGCTGCTAAATTCACCACATCACTTAAAGGGAGGGGCAGGGGGAGAGGAAATAGAGGGAAGGAGGGGACAGCAGCAACAGCAGCAGCCGCAAAGGGTGACCCTACTTGTCCCTCATAAAAACCTTTCAAAGGCCCTCTGGCACCCCAAATCTCCATCCCATTACTCTCTCCTGACCCGAGGTCAGGGACCAAACAACTAACAAGCCCTTCTGTGCAATGCTAGGTTCACGTAGCACAGGGGCCTATTCAAAAATGTCACTCTAATTATTTCTCATCCCTCTAAGGCTGTTTATAGGAAACAATATTGAGTTTAATAACACATTAAATGCCAGGCTCAGTGGGTGAAAGGCTAAAAGTGACAATGTGCTAATATACTTTTGCAAAAGGAA